AAGGGCGTGCAAGTAAAAGATATCTGAGAAAGTAGCCCTTATAAGGGCCCCTCAGGACCCAGCAGGTGGATCACAGGACATAATTGAGGTGGGTGGGTATCATGAGGAAGACGAGGAAATATAAGAGGAGAAATGAACAGAATTACATGAGAGATCAAAAAGTGGAAATAAGAACTGGGGAGGGCCAAGTGGTGTCCTGAAAAGGATAGTGTACTGGGAAAAGTGGAAATAAGGACTGGGGAGGGCCAAATGGTGTCCTGAAAAGGATAGTGTACTGGCCTGGTTGCCATGCAGGACTGGTGTATTGGATGTGTCATATGTCCTTTGGGAGAGTGGATGAGGGACTTTTATGACCTGCTCAGGCAAGAGCCATCCTTCTTGTTAATGTTATTCAGTGTAGCTCAATCTCATTGGTCTCCCTGATAAAATCCAACCTGTTTTGTCCTTTGCTTACTCCATAATTAAGAATATATAGTCTTTAGGGTAGACTATTTTGTATTTGCCACAATCTGTTTGTTTTATCTTTGAAGTAGTCTTATTGATTTTAGCTTGCTTGATTTTCCAATCCATCCAGTCTGTAACTGTGCTACATCAGTCTTCAATTAAGAATGGTTACCAGACATCAGTGAGTGAAGGGAACCTTGTGTGAATAATGTGTTCTGCTTCCCATGAATAACTGTCCCGTCCTTCTACTCAAACCATCCTGCCATGCATGTAAAATTGCTCATTTTTGTCTTCTAATCTTCTTACTCAACCACAAGTTGTTGCAGCATCATTCAGTTACTTATGTACCATTTTCATTCATTCCTTGTGGTCTTTGTTGAATCTTTATATTCCTTCCTTTAGCCCTTTCATCTGTGCATCACAACATACATATAGTCCAGCTGGCCATGCATCACAGTACCATACCACACTAAACCATTAACTCTGGAATTGGAAGTCCAGCCAACAACCTTGTAGTATGTGGTTCAAATTTCATACTCCCATTTGATAAGGATTAATGCTCCATGTTATGTTTATTTATGTTGAATCTGCTGTGAATTCAGTTAACTGTTCTATTCATCACCGAGTCTCTCTTAATACTCTGTTTCAGGTATTTCCAGTATTGGCTCTGTTCTTTGGCCACATGAAGGATTCCCTTTTCTGGTCATGGCTAGGAATGAAGAGGGTTTTAGATGTGTTTTCTTCATTAGAGAAATTTAAGGTAATAACAAGTTGACATGATTTGTTTTGGGTAATATTTGAAATTCTGTTTACTTTGTGATCATTGCAATATACAGTAGAATCTATGACAGTGGCATGATTATTACTCTTCGCAGTCATATAGCGTGACTGAGCATCTGAAGAAAGTTAAGTTTTCTATAAGGGACCTCTGTTTCCCTTCTTTTAGAATTACTTGTAGTGTCCCATTATTTTATAAGCTGTTGTTTGATGCACAATATAGGACTGAATAATATATTATTCTGTAAATATTGTGTACTTGTCTTTCCTTTGAATGTCTTACATGTAAACATTTCTATCACAAATAATATAGATTAAATTTGCACTATACACTACAACATCAGTAATTTTGTTTCCTTACCAATTCAAAAGTTTGTGCACTGGAACATACTGCAAACTTTCAATTTTTGTGCTTCATTACATTTGAGATCCAGTGTCATTGCAGTTCATTGATAATTAACCTGTCAAAGCCCAATGGTAACTCTGTCTCCCACCCACTTAAATAATCATCAACTCTCATTTTGTATTTGTGGGTTCAACTCTGTGTCCCACCCACTTAAATAATAATCAACTCTCATTTTGTATTTGTGGGTTCCATATGATCCTCACTGTAAACAGCATCAACTACTTGATCTTTGCAATGGGGAAATGTGGTATTTTCTTTGTAATATAAACTGCTTTCTTAAATATTGTTTGGATGAGTCACATCTTCAAAGGGATATCTTGTTGTAACAGTCTTGCTGCTGTTACTGTTTTCAGAGTGTATTGTTATTGAACGATGCAAACAAGTTTACTGAGAAGCCCATAAATCGTTTGATGGCAGTAAATATGTCAAATGCCTACTTTGTATGGGGCAATGTGGCAATTCAACAAGATGGCCAGAAAAAGAATACAAATAAAAAGAAGAAGAAGAAGAGGAGTGCTGAATCAAGAAAGAAGCCTTTGTGAGTTACTGATTTTCATATGAAAGAAGAGGTGATCAGGAAGTTAGATATGGACACATGTTCTCAAATTTCTATACTTGGGGTCACATTTACCCTTCCTTAATGATTCACAGGCTGCCAGGTTACAAATAACAATTTATTTAAACTTCAATACAATTTATTATAAATGTTACAAACTTAACCATTGAAAACACATTGACATATTAGCCTACACAAAAATTTTATTTAGATTTTTTTTTAATTTTGTATTTTTTTAAATGAGTCACAAATAAATGTTGAACTTAGGCAGTAAGTACGGTGTTCTTTATTATGCAGGTTGATGCATTACAAAAATATGTGTAGGCTGCATACAAAACATTGGTGTGCTGCAAGCTCAAAACTGCTGGATTACTGTTTGCTTAATTCGGGAAGCTAAGCCCAGTTGAGTCAGATGTGAGGGAGGTTTAATAAAAACTTCAAAGTTTGACTAGGGTGTAAGGTTATGTGTTGTTATCATTTGGAAAAGTGTTGGACTGCAATCATTAACATAAATGCAATTAACTATTTTTGTTTTGTTTTTAAGAATAGCATATGAACTTCACAATGTACATAATGTTGATGGAAAGTGTAGGGTTATGAAGAATAATGATCAAGAAAAAAGTTGTATGATTTATTTTTAAGCTGCTATTCACATGAATGAACTGAGGAAAGCAATGAAAACTCACGGTCAGGATAGTTTTTCAGGAACACGGTTCTTCTCTGTGAATTTCAATCACTTACTCGAAACAAATTACTTAAGCAATCTTGGTATCCAAGATAATTGTGTCAATAATGTGTAGATCATTGTTATTATCTGACAGTGACCTCAGTTTCTGTTGTTGAAACAGTGTTCTGGCAATAACCTTGATTCTAATTGTTGCAAATGTGTACCCAAACAATTATCCTGGGTCATGCAAGTTGCCTATTTCCTAAGAAACCTGCGACAGACATGGATAGTCCCTTCAGATTTCTTCACTCATGCTAGAGAGTGAGGTAACCTAACCTAAAACTGGTACAACTTAACAATTCTATGTGAACACATATAGATATACATGTACAATTACACTTTTTTCTTCTTTATCTGAAGCTCCTTGAGACATATGTTACATGACAAGTAAGGCTAAGTTTAGGATAGAGCTTTGCCATTTTAGTAGGTATTACTCGGTAACATCAGAATATTCATACTTTTAATATCAGCCTCATCTTTATACAGTACACAAACAGGTAACTAGTTTCTTGTTACCTTATTACAGATTATTATGTCATACAAGTATAACCTTTGTATCTAGTGTCGATGAAATGTAATTGCGGTATCTAGATCAATTTAATACATATTTGGTTTATGTTTTTGGGTTTGTCATGTAAAATATGCTGACAGTCATGCCAGTAATCAGTAGCAGTTGACTTTACTTTCAATTAATAAGTGATTTAACAGCTTGGAATTTGAAATAGCTACCTCCAAAAAGTAAGTAAGGTGCTCTGCTACTAAAATAATGTCTTCATTCTGGTAAGCAGAGGACTGATGTTTTCTGCTTTTTTATCAATGTTTATCTTTTCTTTTCCGTGTCTGTAGTTCTGCAGTTGTTCCTTAGGTAACAAAGATGAACCAGACTGCCCTGCTTCAATGTTTTTCTCTAAATTTTCAGGAACATAACTATTGAGTTGGATGAGGTTTCAGCAGAAGATAAATCTCAAGTGAAGCCCACACTAGTGGACATTACTTTCCTGGCGCCAAAGGTGAAGTCCTTTCAGTATTATTTTGTAAAACAAATTAGAGCAGTTAAGTCTCTAGCAGAAAGCCTTTGCAGTCTGTTTAAGGATACTGTGATAATGACATTTTAAGAAAATCTAGAAATAGTTTCTGGATTGTTTAGTGGCAAAAAGGTGCAGCTAACACATTTTCATTGTCAGAGTACACTTAGTAGTCGATAGAAAATTTATGAAATGTGACGTGCATACATTATAAATATTGATAATAATTAAAAATAACTTTTATTCATATTATAAGGACTGGAAATAGTCCAGAATTGATTTACCCACAGTATTCTGTGTGAGAGACTCAAAAACTGTTGTGCCTAGCTGTACAGACTTCATGACTTCTGATTTGTAGGGTAAGCTGATAGGTATTTGTGGAGGACCCAAGAGTGGGAAAACTTCACTGCTTCTTGCTGTGCTTGGTCACCTTAACCAAACGTGTGGACAAGTGCTGCGAGATGGAAACTGTGCCTATGTTGGGCAGCAACCCTGGATCTGGACTGCCAGTATCAAAGACAACATTGTGTTCAAGGAGCCATTCCAACATCAGAGGTAATCATCACCTTCCCTTGTCTGTAAATGGAAACAACTGTTCTAACTCTGATCACCAAATGCAGCGGTAGACTACAGTAAAATTCATAGTTTCCTGTTGCATTTAATGTACTGAAGTATGAAGATCAAAATTTATTGTTTGACAGTGTCAAGATAAAATGAATTAAGCTGTGAAGCAAAGGTTTGAGAATCCTGAAATATGCAGCATAGGCATATGTGAGGTCTGAATTTTGAGATTAGATCTAGTAAAAATCTCAGTTCAATTTTTCAGCCTTAGACTTGAAGAATTTTAAAAAAAACTGCTTTTGCATTACTCAAAAGAATGAAAGCTACCCAATCCATTGCAGTTGTAACTGTTGGCAGTGTGTCAATAGAGTCTATCTGTATCCATCTATCTGCAATTTTCTATATTTCTGTGTGTGGTGTTGGATTTCTGTCCTCCAGCCACCATATCATTACAGAAATGGCAATGCCAACTTGGTAAGTACATACTCTGGTCTATGGTGGAGCCATCTGAGCACTTTCTAAAATTTTTCATTTCCATTCATGTACTGGGCATTTTTCTATAATTTTGCTTTTTTAATCTGATCTGTTTCTGTATAATTTTAGTGGTTTTAGTACCCACAAAATATGTGTCATTTCTTCTATTACCAGCCATTTGCTCTTCTGAGGAGTTGGTTATTGTTTATATCATTTTAGTGCTGATGTGGTTTTGTTTTCCTGTTAGCCATTATTCTTATTCTAATTATTATTATTTAATCTATTAGGTAAACCTGCATTTGAGTTTTTTTATTTAAATCTACATGTTTGGCAAGGAAAAATGGTATGCTATGTGGTTACTTGTGGTGAAATTACTTGGAAAATCAGATATCATCACTCAATAGTTAAAAACTGTTATGTCATTGAAGAAAATGCAAATTAATATGTACATTCATTGTTTGTATATTTTAGTTTCTGGGAATTATATGCCATAAAAGTCTTCATACATTGCTTATTTTTTACCCACGTAATTTGCTAAACGTTCCAGTTAAGGTTTGACTAGTTTTAAGGGATGCATCCTGTTGTGTGTGTGTTTGTCATTAATGTTGACAGTCTATGCAACAATTTTTTGTTATATTTTTAATGTTTATTTAGGTCATTACATGTTTCAACTTTAATTGGTCATCTTCAGGATGTTCCCTCTAATTGTTCAAAACTAATATATATGGCTGAAAAATTGTATACGTATTTTCTGTTGCTGCAGTTCAACTACAGCTTTCCACTGGTAACATAGTCCATTCTCCTTAAATGCATAAGCTGCTTAAGATACAGTCCATTATATGGTGAAGTCAGCAACAGAAAATATGTATATAATTTGGCAGCCATACATATATTAGTTTTGAAAAATTAAAGGGATCCTCTTAGAGATGACAGTTAAGGTCAAAACATATAGTGGATCTTAATAAATATTGAAACTATAACAAAAATTTGTTGTGCAGTTGGACTGTCAACAATTAAGGTTACAGTTCTGATTTTTGCATTTCCTGCAATTTACACCTTTTTTATTAATACTCAATAAATTGTAATTGAGAGCTTTCATTATACTTTGTAATTCTGATTACACAGGCATAAAAGCTATCCCAGTAAATGCCATGTAGGCACTTGTAGGGAGAGGAGGTATAGCTCCTACTCATTCTTAACCTCGGCACTAGATGGGGGTGAGTGGTCAGCGTCACACCCTGGCCATTCTTTACCCCTGGAAAAGGACCCCAGTACCCATTGGATGCAGAGGCTAGAGGAGGAAAAGTCCTCTGCCCCTGTCAGGGATAGAACCCCGGTCACCCAGTCCGTAGCCAGTCACTATACCAATTGAACTACTGCGGCTCACACACAGGCATAAGGGATTGAATATAGTTTTCTACCATGCACTGAAATTTAAAGTTTTGAAGATTTTTCTGCCACATCCATAATTGTTCAACTGTTACATCATTGGTGTAAGTTATAGATAGTATACATTAATAGACTTTGCAGTAAAAATATTACATGTACCTATTAATCAATTTCTGTAACAAATTTTTAGATGCAGTGAATTGTGAGAAAGGACCTGAAATTTGTAATTACAACTTTCAGATTCAACTTCATCTTCACTGGGAATCAAGCCCACAATCATTTTCGGAGGTTGTGGCTTTTGTTTCTGTAACCTTTTCTTGAAACAAGCTTTTATTCTTCTATCATGTTTCATTTCTGAGCTGCAGAATTGTTGGCAATTGGACTCAGGACAACTTGTCAGGAATGTACCCTTTTTCTGTAATCTCGAGACAAACAACTTTTGTGTTGGCACCGGTCTTTTATCATGCTTTGCTTATGAACTACAGGAATTGTCCTCACTGGCAATCAAACTCAGGACACTTTCCTAGAGTTTACCCTGCTATGTTCTATTTTTGGTCACGAGGAATAAGTGTGCCAAGTTTTGTGTGAATCAATTTATCCCTTCTTGACCAAAATATGAACATATGAATGAACATATACACAATTTAAATTTTATATGTAAAATTACTAAATATTCCTTCCATATATCTTTCATGTTTGGTAAGAAGGGATTAAGTCAAATGTAATTCGTACTGACGTAAAGTCTATTTTACGATCACTGTATATATTTATTTATTTATTCCATCAAATTTTATTCATGCTTCTTTGTGGAAATTAATTCAGTGGCTTGAATTTAATTAGTGTATGCTAATGCCTACATTTCTTTAGTGATGTGAACATGGTTCTTTATAAACTAGGAATGTAGTATCACATTACACTTCACAGTCATTTTAAAAAAAATTACAGCAGTTTCTGCATCTTCACCATATGGTTGCAGTTTTAGCATGGTATCTCACAGCTGTAACAGTTTTCACTTAATAAGGGCTCTCTCTCTCTCTTTTTTGGAGAGTCCATGTTTTTGGTTGCCGACTGCTTTATTTATTGTAGAGAAGTTCTTAAATCTGTGAAACAATGTTTTTTGTTTATTGGCAGGTACTATAGAACTGTTCATAGTTGTTTACTTACTGAGGACATTGATAAGCTTTCTCATCATGATGACACGCTGATTGACGAGATGGGGCTGTCAACAGGGCAGAAGCAACGCATTGCTCTGGCTAGGGCTCTCTATTCCAACAGGTGGGACTAGCAGTTGCTGATTTTTCTGGGAGCTTGACTCATAGATATAATCTTTAGCATATAACTCAAAGTAATAATTTCAGATCCTGACTGGAACCAGCTATCCTGACAGGTTCTTGTAGTTTTCCTCAGTCTGTTCAAGTAGCTGCTTGAATAGTTCCTTTAAAGGAGTTTAGGACCCATTATTTCTCACATTTTGCTACTGTTCAATTTCATTGGTAACTTTAATTTGATGATTTTATACTGATTAAGCAATGTTATCAAGATTTTTATAAAAACTGACCAATAATACCATTAGTAACGAAGTCTTTATTTTAATTTTCAGATTTATAATTTAGGAGACAATTTTGAAACTTTTGTAGAAGGGAAAATTGATTCATTCTTAGCAGTCCACATTTTATTAAAAATTTCTAGATTTAGAATTGCAGCTAATAAAATACAATTTATTTTATGAATTTTTGCTCTTAAGGCAATTAAATGTCACTTGAATCTGGCAATGATGTTGTGCGAGGAAATTTAAATTCCCATATCTTAAAAGGTTAAATTCACAAGAATCTTGCAACAGTTCCTTGTTGGCCTCTACCTGTACAGCAAGGACGAGGGTAAGAATGCACATCACACACAACAGCTTAAGGCAGAATTTTCATTTTGCCCTGTTGGTAGGATGGAAGTGAATATTAAAAATGATGGCTGAGGCATGTTAATTTGAAATTGAGACAGTAGGTAACCTTACATTCACAGAGTTTAATTTACACCTTGTCAGAGGTGAGGAAGGAGACAGCATGTGGAAGACTCCATACTGATTCTGTATGGACAACCTTGAATCTAGGACCTTTCTGCATGGAATACTGGTACCATGCCCCTAGACCCTAGATCCCCAGATACAAATAGTAGTGTATAAAACATAATTACAGCCATTTCTGTGTATCAGACTAATTAAACTAAACTGTCCTATGTCTGTGATAGGGACATATACCTTCTGGACAACCCTTTGAGTATGGTGGATGTGGATACAGCAGCAGCAGTTTTTGACAAGTGTATCCTGAAAGCCCTCAAAGATCGAACTGTCATTCTTGTAACTCGTCATGTCCAGGTAGAGATATCAGTCCAAGAACGATTTTTTTATGTCTATGTATATTGCTAATTTTGTATAACAGTGACATTGCATAGTTCCTTATTCTCATTCAGACCGCAAACTATTGTAAATATCAGGCAACTGTAGAAATACTTGCAAATTATTTGGATAAATCTGAAAGCATTTTGATATTTCACATTGCAGTCATACATTATTTTCATTGTTAAGGATAATCTTAGTATTATTTTCATTAATTTGATAAAGTATATAGAAAGTTAAAATGAAATAATTTGTGTACTCATATTTTATCTCATGAATCATAATCAAAGAACATTACCATTAGTATCATTAAAGAATTCAGGGACTTTGCAGTTTCACAATTATTGTCCACAACAAAAATATTTATATTTAAGTATTGTTTAGTAACAACATGATTTTTTAAACACAGTGCTTTAAGTTTTCTTTAGTTACAACCTTTAGTTTGGAAAATAGATACGCTGCCAGATAACAGAAATATTTCTTGTACCTAGTTATCGGATATTTTGTGCTTGTTACTGGCATTTTCTGTAAATACTTGAATAAATGTGAATAATATCTTTGAGTGAACTGCAGAATTAGCATGCTCCTTACACATAGTAAGGGATGTTAGTTTTCACATGACAACAGATTTCAATAGTGGTTGTCATGTTCCTGAAAACAGTGGCATCATTAAATTTTGATTTTTTTTTGTGTATGCTACAAAATTCACTGTCTGCAGTTTGTTCAAGAACATATCTTCTTTTACTGTACTCATTTGATGTTGGCTTTCTGCATTCATTGCATATATTGTTCTGGTTTTGTTGCCTGCTTTCTGTGTTCAGCGCTACAATCGTACAAGCCTATTTATATGTTGCATATATAATTTCTGGTTCAAGAATGCATTGTAGAGGATCAGTATGAAATGGGAATCCAGGTGAAGAGGTGGGATAGCCAAGTTTTAATTCCAGAATTCCCTAGTACAGACAGTGTGTTTGTTATTCAGTTGTTGTTTTAACAAGAACAGTGGTGTTGTTCAGTAATCAGTAACTAAAAAGTTCTCTGGCTCTTCTGTTTATAAGGGTAGAAACTGAAAACATGTTGGCAGTCGTTATAAATGATGCTTCCTGCATGTTCCCTTGAGAGTGCCTTGCTGCCAAGAATTACGTGGTTTTCCATAATATAAATTATTTCCTTTGCAGTTCTTGACCCGCTGTGATGAAGTTTACCTGATGCATAGAGGTAAGATTGTTGTATCAGGCACTCATGAGATGCTCTTGCAGGAGTGCCCAGAGTATTCCAGTCATATCAAAAATCAGGCACTCATGAGTTGCTCTTGCAGCAGTGCCCAGAGTATTCCAGTCATATCAAGACTTGCATCTCTGACAATGTCAAGAAGTATTTTGTGTGAGTATAGATGTTTGTTTAGTGATTGTGCTTTCTTCATGTTTGTTTAAGACAGTTGAACTATTTTGATATTTTCAGCCAATATTTTTCTAATCCTTTCATGGATATATGTCTATATCTGGATATAGTATGTGTCTCACTTTATAGCATAATGTATTATAAATATTTATGTAAACATTTACTGTGCCTCATGTATGACATGTACCACAGAGGTTTATTATAGTAATAGATTATAATGTCTTTAAATTACATTTTAACCCTTCAAACCACAATAGTGACTAACTACATATACCACCTGCTTTAAAGTTCCATCAGTGTGCATTTTAGGTACAGAGTGGGTTTATGGATTTTGTGTGATTTTCAGAATAAAAAGTGATTATTAGCCTGAACAACAGTGACCAGTTGATCTTTGTAACGTTTCTTTCACATAGGGACTGAATTTTTAAATATTAATTAAACAAATTTCATGCTTCCGTGTGGTAAATTACAGAGAGATCTGACTTTCCTGAAAAGAAGTCACTGTGGAGATAGAATTGTTGTGTTTTCTGTTTGTGTGCTGTTTTGTTTCTTCTAAGGTTTATGGCTGTGAGTAATCATTGCAGATGAGTTGACATCAAGTCCATTAACCAAAAAACCAACCAACCAACCAGCCAACCAGTCATTAGTAAAATATTATTGAGCACAGTTTGTAATTTATTCCATCTACTAAGAATCACTGGAATGTAACAAGACAAAGCATGTTAGATATATTATTCTTCTCATTGTCATGATACTATTTTCATCATGTGCAGTGCCTTAGTTACGCAAACTTTTTCATGGTGGTATGTGAATTGTTTTCTTTGAACACAGAGATACTAGCCGGCGGCATGAGAGTATATCTTCAATGGCAGAATTCATCAGTCAAAATATATATCATACTGACAGCACTGTGAATGTTGGGTCCCTTGAAAATGACACAAAAGGTAAGGACCATAGAATTTTATATAGAAAGATGTATATGGACTCGTATCACGTTCATTCTTCTTCGCTAACATTATGAAGTTCCATTTTGTTGTTAAATTGAGCGATAAAATTTAGCATTCAAGAAATACCAGCAACATAAAAAAAATATTTGGGACTTTTTAATCGTTGCATATGAAATTATTTTATCTGCAACACTATGAGAGTTTCCTGTTTTCATTCACAGTCATGCAGAACATGTAAATTTGTCTGTGCATAATGCAATGTACTGATATGTTCCTCTGTGGTGGCCCTTGGGTTTTGGCTACTATGCAAAGTTTGCTGATTCTACCCAGAGACATTTACAGTTCATAGAATGTGTGGGTCAGTTTGCTGATAACTGGGAGGTATTAAGGTTATTTTTTTTGAGATTTTTGTAAGGTAAAACTAGTGTGCATCAAAACATCAGTTCTTTGTACATAGTATAGGTATAGTGGATACATTTTAAACAGAAATAATCCAGTTATATTCAGAAGTCTAGTGGGACAACAGCAAAAATTGTGTGTAATACTAAATTGGTCCTATGTTTCATAGTAATTATAGTTTTTCCATTAGATCTGTAGCTACTGTGCCATTCTTCTTGCTGCTTACATTGGAGCCTGTTATTGAACTTTGCCCCAAAATTCCCATTGTCTATCCCGTCCTTCCCCTCTTGTCTGACCAAGGACCAGATTAATGTGATGCCTCGATACTGTCAAGAGTGGCACAACCTCTGGTTTTTGACTAATGTGATAATACAAGAAACAGAACAGTGTCACTAACCCTGATAAATTATATGAACTAGAAGTCTTGACTCATAATAGTGAAAGGATGAGGGTTAATTGTATTATTTAATTACAGGAGCATAATTTTGTGGGGGTATTTTACATTGTGTGGCTAAGAAACTTCTATGACTTTTTAGGGGTTGGCTCTATTTCCATCTGTACCTAGAAAGCAGGAGAATGTGCTATGTAAGGGCCTGTTAAACAGGACTAGTTCTTGAAGATGGCTGTCCTCTGGGTTTTACCATGTAGTCTGGTAAAAGTTTGGTAAACTTGACAGAAAACAGCCACCTTCAGACTGACCTCTGTGAAAACCACAAATCCTACAGAGCTAGTTCATATCACTAGGCATATCACATATTTTTATCTGGAAACAGTGCCCAAAGAAAGTGCTTCCATTATCACAGATTTTGGGAACCATGCTGTTGTAGCTGACAGAAACTTGTATGTTATTAATAGAGCAATTTCTATTAAAGCACTGTTTTTGCATTGTAGATGTATGTCATCTGGACAGCGTGCATCTGGAATCAAGTACTCCAGCAGGAGTTTATTTGGCTTATTTTCGATCCCCATGCAGCTATTTGTGGGTCATAGGCGGCCTGCTGTCAGGGTTCCTGTATTATGTGTGTCTGTTTGGCATCCCCATCAGCATACTGCACGTAAGCAACATCATGCTACCTCATGGAAATAAAAATGTTATTTGATAGTGTCTCTTCTTAAATGTCGGACCAAGTAGCCTGGTAGAAATTTACAAACATTTCAGAGGTGTTTACTGCCTCTGTCATGTTAGTTCCTGTGAAAAGTTGAGCAGTTTCTGCTAGGAATCACAGTGCAACATCCCAGAAGACAGCCTTCTTTATAATCACTGCTGTGAGAACCCGAAGTCTATCACATAAAATTAATGAAAGACTCTCGGGATACAAGCTGTGTCAGGTGACTGAATGGTGAATAAACCATGTCTTTTGCCAACTTTTCGAGAACAATCTCTGCTCTCATCCTCAGGGCTGCTATGTAACAAATCTAATCCTTGGCAGAAGATAAGGTTTATTCACCATTCAGCCACCTTACACAGCTTGTATCCTGAGAGTCTTTCTTCAACTTCAGTCAGTGCGAAAGCTTCACTTTGTACTATCAGGTAAAAACATTCTCCTGGTGAGACTGAGGATCACTGCAACAGTCCACAGCCAGAATAGCCAAGATTTAACCTGGGTGCTTCCCCCTCTAAATGAATGTCTGAAGTGTTGTTCCTCTGTAACTTTACTCTTGAGTGTGTCTCCAAAATGCCACACCCAGACCATATCTGGTTCCATCTGCCCTCCTATCAGATGGGTACAGAGGCTCTTTTCTACCACTGCCTGCTGAGTGAAGCTGGCCTCTCACCTCTGTGTGACACAGATGTCTGTAGTTTATCATATCTGTATGGCTGCAAGACATGCTGCTTAGGCACAGATATGAGTTTGTTTTAAGTTTGTCCTCAAATAATTGTATACAATGTTTTGAAAGGGGTTTTAAAAACATTGCCACTGGAGAGCTACAGTAAAACTAGTTTTTATTAGTCATGCTGAAAGGCAAATTACTGCTTTATTTTTACTAACATAAAATGATCACACTTGAACTAGCTACTGTGATGCCTATTCACTGTGGCTCCTAAACAATTTCTAAGAAAACATTTTACACACTCAAACACACACACACACACAGGCGCATACAAGTGATCATTGCGCACAAAAATTGAGGGAATAAAAGATTGGATCGTAGAGGAATGTCTAGGAAACCTCGTGTTGTGTATGTATATGCTATTTACACCACTAATATCATTTAATGTTACTACTAAAATATAATCAATCTTTTTTTTTAATTAGGTGCACCATATGACTGGTTGGAAAGACAAGGTCTTTTATTACTGAATAAAGTTTGTGTTGTGACAGAAAAGAAGGTAAATGGCACCAAATATTGCTTTTCAGGAGAAGAGAGGACCATGTTAGACATTTATGCAGTAATGTGCTTAAATCATTAAATATTTTTATTGTAACACTGAATAGAATATATTATGCTTTGGCAATATTAATCAGTTTTCATTTGATCCTTGTAATAAGCAGAATTTGTCAAAGGACTTGTATTGTTTTGACCAGTTTTTATTTATCCTTCTTTTATGTAACACCACAGAAATATTCTCTCAGCTATCTGCTGATTTGCTGACACATTCATTAGAGCTATTTGAATGATGAAAGGGAAGTTCAAAGTGCAAGTAGTAAGCACGGACAAAAGTAGAAATGTATAACAAATTTGAATTCCGAAGCATTATAGAAAGAGACTATTTCAGAGTCCAAAGCATAAACTCGATGATAATATTAAAATGGAATGTATGGAAGTATGTTGTGAGAATGTAACCTGAACTAAACTAACTCCAGGTGGAATAAAGTAGTGGAATTATATGACAATGATGACAAAGCTTTTTGAACTTTCACAAATGGTGAATAGGTGTCAAAACTTAAAGTACACAGGTTTCTAATTTCTTCATTTGTTCTGTTCTTCACTTTCAGAGTCAATGGACTACATGGATGACTCATATTAATGCAGCGTTGGTGATATTGATGTGTGTCAGTGCCTTAGCGTGGAGCTTCTCGTTTACCACGGTAATATACATTAGGACACACCTCTGAAGCTGAATGTGTGTGGGGGCAGAAATTCTGTTCTGCATGTTATAGTGATAGGGGCATTATGTAGTTCTTAAAGCCTCTGCTTCTTTAATGTTAAATTCACCTGTACATGGCGCATGCAGTTTTCACAAACAGTACTCTGGAAATCAAGTCGAAGTAATATAACTGTTATTTGAATTAAAGGACATGACATTGATTACATTTGATTTGTTTGTTAATTGCTTCATAATTTTGCAGAGTAACCTAGTTTTCTTAAACCTAGGACTCCCACAAGATACTAAAATGATATTAGCAGCAGACTGTTCCCTCTTTGCCAAACATCTTTAAGAATTTTATTTAAAATTCAACTACAATTGGTAATTTATTTTACTGTTTTATAGAAGGCTTTAAAATATGACATTCCTTGTTAGTTTTATTTTTAACCCTGCTAAGAACTTGAATTTCAGTTGAGTTGTGTAATAAAGACTTTTCATAATAGAAAAGAATGTCAAGTTACATTCCATTTCAAATGTGATCCCAGACACCTTTACCCAGAGAGAGAAAGGTTCACTTATGTTGTGACAAAACTCCCATTCATCATGAGTATGAAATGTAATTGGAGCTGCCAATGAGGGCTGTCAAATAGACACTGTCTGTTAAAAATTAGCCAATCTGATTTTAATTGAATATGAGAAACAAACAGTAGCCAGATTTTGTGTAAACTTTGTGCTGAGAAGGACATACAGAAGTCAGCTACTGAACCTGTTTCAGACAGGCACTAACAGAAACCATCCGGTATTTATTTATTTTTTAGATTAACATACTATAAATTAAACCTAAATTGACCTGAAGCAAATGTAGGTGATGTTCCAAATTTCATATTTAACATTATTATGCCATTGTCTTGTAGCAGAACTTAAAACTTTGTGAGATTTTTTAATGATGAGAGTTCAGATTTTGAATTTCTGGGTTGTGACATCAGTGTCACAGGTAAGTCTGTAGATGGTTACAAACGTTTCAGAGTAATGCACTGCATCCATTTCATTGCAAACCCCATGGAGACCGTGTGACCCTTCATTTGAATGACCTGGGCTAATTTTAGAACATTGCCTTTCGAGATCTGAGTACCCTAGGTGCGGGATGAGAATGAGAAAAATGGAAAGGTCCATACTTTTAAAAAGAATGTATAAAGATTAGTTACTCTTGCCTATAAATTATGAGCTCTACATTTCTTCTTGATGGTTCGTAATAATCATAAATCAGTGTTCATCTAAGAAATTCTGCCTGATGTTTCCTCAGGCAACCACCAGAGGAATCATTAAATATACAAAATAACTTTACTTCAATATTAGGTCAATTAACAGATTCTTCCTTAAGCAGTTGGTTGTTATTCAAATAGTCATGAAAATTCCTTGATTCTTTGGAACCTGAATTTTAAAATTTATACACAAAAGCCTGATATTTTGTCTTATCCTGACATAATTAAATTCAGTTCACTTCACATCCTATTTCTCTAGAATCTATTTTCATTTTATCCCTGCTTTTATGCTTCTCAGCTATTCTGGATTCATTTATGTGGTTAGCTAGGCTATTCTAAAGTCTTTAGATGGTCCTTTTTTTCCTTCACAGTTTGTAATTCATAGATTCTGCTTCCCATTTTAATTTCTGAGAATTCAGTCTCTTGTTTAATGTTATTTATTTGACCATGTATAATTTTTATGAGTTTTAGGATGTGCCCAGTGTTCCCCATGTTACCCTGTTAGTATTTTGTTGTTTTGCTTTCCTCTTAATTCAATTGGTTGTCATTGTTCATCCTCCAGGTTCTAATGGCTGAGACTATAATTAATTAACTCTTGGTCTGCCATTTAAATTGACTGCATTCTGACACTGTCAGACCATTTAATGTAAAAGACCTTAGGCAGTATGCTGTGGGAAACCGAGTACAGTGTTGGACTTTTTATTTTACTGTGTTTTAATGTATATGTTATTGGCAATGTATAGAAAACTTAGGCAATGTATATATAATGCCTTAAGTCAGTAGTAAAGTATGAAATGAGTCGTAATGTTAATATTGTTTGATTGTGTAAATTAAAATTAATCAAAGTCGATTGGGTAAGCTGTGAAGATGGAGGTTGTGCAAGATAGTCTCGAAAACACCAAGCTACTGAATCTGAACATAATTTTTTTTTTGAGAATCAAAGAAAATTGTTTTATATTAACTTTTATGAAAATATAATAGATAAAATAAAACTGTATAAATCGTATTATAGAAACTTCTTTGTTATATACTTTGCCTAAAGAATCTGAGGCATTTTATAAAATTCCTAGGTATTCTAGAGAATACCTAGGCAAAAGTATAAAACAAACTGTTAGTTTCATACATTGCCTAAAAGTTCTAGGCATTTTATAAAATGCCTGGGCATTCTATAGAATGCCTGAATTTCATACTTTGCCTACTGACTTTAGGCATTCTATACATTGCTGGATTTCATAGTTTGCCAGTAACATATATATACAGCAACAGACTAAACTGTTTTAAACAGCCAGAGCAGCTGTGACTTGAATCACATGCCTCCAGAATATGAGAAAATTGGTAGTCCTGTTTATGTACCAATGAATTTATGTCTGTTGTACACAGGTTGTGGTAGGAGTATCAAGGTGGGCCCATGACTTTTGGTTTAAGAAGCTGTGCAGAGCTCCAGCGGGCTACTTCCAGGCTTCCCCTGCCATGATGTCTGTCCTTAACTTGTTTTCTCTAAATGTGCAAGAGTGTAAGTTATAGCATAGTGAAAACGGACAGTGGCTATATGTGTGACTAATGCAGTGATTCATGATTGAAGAAGAATATTCGTCCATCTGCCCCAAATTGACCCTTTTAATACCATAAACAGACAAGTTTCACAATGCAGCAGAACTAGGTGTGGATTACTGAAGTAATATATAGCCATAACATTGAATTCTTGTTTACATAAATTCTGCCAAAATAGATTATCATGTTAAGGAAAAATTGAGCTTTTCAGATTGAGAAAATAATATATTTGTATGTGCAGATATTAAATATCACATTTATATAAAATATTGGGTTAATATTGTCTAACACACAGCCAACTGACATAGCCTTATTCATTAACCCTTTAAAATCCAGTGGTTTCTCTATGTACCATTTGCTTCTTTAGTTAGTAGTAATGCTCCTTTTTGTATTTATGGATTTTGTGTGATTTAAAATGTAAACAGGGGTTATTTCCTTAAACAGTATTAACACATTCATCATTTTAAAGGAGAAGTGTGATGTTTTCTTAGGGGTTTGGACTGTATTTTTAAATATAATTTAGATGATCTTCAGTTGTAAAGAGTTAACAGTGAATGTATTAAACATATTAAATTAAATAATGAAAGCACTGCAGTCATTGTGAAGAAAAGCAATAGCAACAATTAAATGTTGCATTTCGTTTTGAGACAGGTTACAAATGTGTTGTTAAGATTATGCTGTTAAACATACCATGGCTTTGCATATTGCAGTTGACACGAGACTTCCGCCGTCACTTCGTCAGGTGGTGGAGAGCACAAGCTTCTTGTTGTGTGCCATCGTCGTGTTGCTGTATATCTCGCCTTACAGTTTTGCAGTAGTGCTCCTTGCCTTGTTGGTCAGTGCTGTTGTTCTGGGACAGCCTCACAGGTACGCATACATTTAGGGCAGTATGATTCTCATGTGCCACTCAGACATTTCAGATGTTAAAAATTTGACTGTAAATATAATACTTGAAAAAGTTGGGAATATGAGTAACTCCTTTGTTTCTGTGTGACAATGAAATTTATATTACAAAATGTTGTTTAACTTTATATTTATAACCTTTGTCCAAAAACAGGTATTTTACTGAACATGGCAGTTGATAGGTTTGTGCTCCTGCTTCGTATCTGGCAGGGCCTAGGTTCAAATTTAAACTGAGAGACTGACTGTCCTCACTGAGGTTTATTGTGGTTTTCTTCAGTGCCTCCAATAAAATGCTAGGATAATAAAATAAATTAGGCCGTGACTGCTTCCTTCCATATACTTTCCAATTTATTATTCATTAATCATCCTATTATTTGATGCTATATAGTCTAAGTTACTGATAGCATAAACCATAAATACATAGAAATAAATAAGCCAGTAATTTTTTAAATTAGATGAATAACTATTGACTGATTATGGATTACTCTGTATCATGGAGTTAGCTGAATATTACATATTACTGTTCACACATTATTTATGTTCTTGAATTTTAGTATGATTATAATGTAATTACACTATAAAAGTACCCAGAAGAGTACATAGTTGTGTTGTGTCAGGCTGAGAGACTTGGATGATTTGAAATGCCTCCATTTTGGTGGCACATGGAGTTATGAAATTATGAATGGACCATTATACGCATTCAAACAATGTGCATAATTTGTGATTCTGTCACAGGATATTTATGCAAATTAACATTGTAGCTATTAGTTGTCTGAAGATTCCCTGAAACACGTCACAGTGCTCTACTAATGTGTGTATCTCTTAGAGCCTCCTCTTAACTTCAGTGCAACATCACCTTCCCACAGAGCATTCAATTTGCACATACAAGGCTCAGTGGGTCAAATATGGTGATATAGAGACAGCAGCTTGTGTGGACAAAATATCTCTGATGTAAGATAATAAGAAAATGTGGTATAATTTTTACATCTGATTAGAGAAATTTCACTCTTTAGATTTTGTTATAGATTTTAATATCTGTCAAATCGCTAACCAGTGATTAACCTTCTCCTTGGAATGGGAAGTACTGGATTGTGGATGTTCACTTTGGTATCTTACATAACCGACAGTTGAATAGTTACTGGCATTGAAGTTCCAAGCATAATTTCTTCTCAGTTTTGAGGAATACCGAGCCACTAATGCAGCTGTGTTTCACTTATGTGCAGGAAGTGTTTAGTAAAGTTGCACGAAACAGAAGTGGCATCACGTGTTCCACTGTACCAGCATCTGGTATCTACGGTAACAGGAAGAACTACTATTCAGGCATTCACCAAGGATAAAGATTTCATTGCAGAGTGAGTCACTTAATATAAAATCTTCAGCAAATAACATACCAAATGATGCCTTAGAATTGCGTGCCTTCTATGAAGAGAGGTTGATTTCATTTTATCTCATTTCACGGACATCTTTGTATGTAATAGGGTAGTGGGATACTGTTTATGACTTGTGTTCTGCATGACTGATTGAGTTTGTAATAATGATACTAGATGGCAGAATGTTCTGTTTCACAAGTGTCACCACCATTTAGTAATTTTCAGAAATCTTTCTAAAGGATATAAAGGTACAAACAAGGAAAAATAAAAGAAAGAAAGGGATCAGATATTAAAGAAATTATTCCTTGTTGAGTTTCAGCAGGCCTTTTCCACTAGTAACAGAAATTAATACTATGGTCCAGTGTAACTTTCACCAACTGCAAGTATTTTGTATCAAATTATTTTATCTGCATTGTTCAAAAGTAATGATTTAACAGCTTCACTGTTACAGAACTGGCCTTTGTTTAAAATATTTGGTGGAGTAGCCCAGTGAAAGTTTTGCAATCAGTAAACATTGTGTAATAATAAATTATTTAAGATTGATGACTAAAAATAGTGATTCATACTTGTTTTCATAAATTACATTAACTCTGCTGAAAATTTGCAAGTGTAACCCTTTAAAGCCAAGTGTACCATCTGCTCTAATAATCAGTAATGCTGCATTTTCTGTTTATGGATCCTGTGATTCCATGATTATTGGTGTGAACAGTGACTGTTTCCTTGTCACTGTTAACCAATTTATCAGAGTGCATTGATATTATTTTTTTGATTAGAACCCACTATGTCAATTTTAAAATTATGTTTCATGATGTGATGCATGCCATGTATTAAAATCTATGGTGGGTCTTTAAAGTTTAAGCCTCACTTTTGGAGCACAATGACATTGTTATTAAGAAAGTGTTATATCCACTGCATTCTACTGTATCAGTCCAGCATGATCCTCATAATGCATAACATACCGCTCTAGAAGGTAGGACATGCATTGCTCTAAGTTAAAACATGTATCCTATAAGTTATACTAATCCTCAGAACTTAGAAAATGTCAAAATAAATTATTAAGTACCTGCTGAAAGCAGGGTTTATACTATCAAAAACAAACACATAACCCTTAGAAGTTAAAATGTGCCACCAATAATGGCATGCCAAAAAAGTTAGAAGCTGGAATATGTTGCCCTAGAAGTTGGAATGTGCTCTTTCAGAAGGTAGAATATTTCTCCTAGAAGTTGAAACATATCACTAGTAGTAAGGATGTATAAAGTGAAGCTTTTGAGGTAACTGAAATTGATGAAAGACTCTTGGGTTACAAGCCATGTCAGTTGGCTTGTAACCTGAGAGTCTTTCATCAAGTAGTAAGGATGTTTTAAGAAAGTATAAGTTACAAAAATTGGAATATGCTTCTTGGAAGTAGTTGCAATGCATGCATTTCTGTGTGGATTGTGTTTCAGCTTTACTAAGAAATGTGATGAAAATTCAACCTGTAACTATCTGTTGAGTGCTGCATCATGTTGGTTGGGTTTCAGAGTGAAGGTCATTGCAGGTGAGTGGCACAAGAATAAAAACAGTGTTTGGCTTTCAAAATGAAATTTTGTATTGCAGTGGCAATGTTACTTACTGTTTTGAAAAGAAACTTGGATCCTCACAAAACAAAGAATCCACTGTTCAGAGGTAAGGTAACTCAGGAAGATTTATAGTTATTTAAAAATAATGAAATGTGTATGTTTTTACATTGGTGCACTTACGTGATGTGTGGTCATTATTGAACAGGAAGTGTATTAGGTCTTTGTTGCACTAATGTGATCCAATATCATTGTTTCACAAAAATGTGTTCCAGCATTGACCTCAGTTCCCACTCTTGTGGAACTATGTGTTCCAGTAATGAGACCATGCAGGTTACCTACTTTCTACACAAAACGTGAGACAGTCAGACATGAACAGGCCCACAATTTGTGCTTTGCTCATGCTAGAGCACAAAAAATATCTGATAACAAACATTATCAACAGTGGTAATAACAACAACATTAATAGTAGCAATAATAATTCTTTCTCATTAGTATGTTACATCAACATCCAGAAATCCAATTACAGATACAGCACAAGATAAGAACACAATAATAAATATAACAAAACAACAGCAATCAGATTATCAAGAAATTACATGACTTCAGAGAAATTTAATACACAAACGAAACTTGTGACTGAATATGTAATTTATCTTTTGAATAATAATTAAATTAAAAGTAAAGTAAAAGTAAAGCTGTCCCACTATACACCATATAGGCACTTGGGGGGGGGGGTGAATCTGTATAGCTCCTACTCATTCTTGACCTCAACACTAGAAGGGGGTGAGTGGTGAGCATCACTCCCCGGCCGCGCTTTACCCCTGGGTAACGACCCAGGTACCTGTTGGATAGGAGGCTGGGTGGGCCCCAGAACTGGTCTGGATGCAAAGGCTATAGGAAAAATCCTCTGCCTCTGTCGGGGATCGAACTCTGGTCGTTCAGTCCATAGCCAGTCACTATACTGACTGAGCTAAATTAAGTCATTTAAAATGTGTACTGCTGTTGATGAACAAATTAAATTAAAATATAATAAAATATATGTGGTTGTTTTTAATCAGATACATTTCTTGCTTTAAGTGTTCATCTACAATTCTCAAAAGTTTGTATCATGGAAGTTATAAGTATAATGGACAGTTCCAAGAAACATATAAAAGATGAATGTGCATGCCTGGCAAGCTTCTAGTAAATCTAATACTGTAAGTCAGTAGTGTGGGTTAATGTGCTGTATTATCCTGTCAGATAAGGTCCTTCATGTTCTATGGGTAAGGTACTGGGCTGCCACAACTTATAAAATGCATTTTGTTGGTTGCGCTTATGTTTCTCACATGTTTCTTGAAAATGATTGGCAGCTATAACAGTTGGTCTAGTGGCAGTTGTTCTGATATTCTCAACACCTGTCCTATGGGTGGAAAACATCTCAGCTGATTGGATCGCAGGTTTTGTGTTAGTGATCACTATGCAGTTGGGTGGCTGTATGCAATGTATCCTGCAATCAGTAGCTGAGTCTGAAGCAAGGCTCAAGATATTTGCAGAGTCCAGCTGCTGCATACAGGTGAGAGGACTGCCCTAAGTTAATGCTTACATGTTGAACATCTATGTATATAGGAAGTGCTTTTATAAAGCATTCCTCAAAGGGTGTTATGACTTAAATACAGTATAAAACATGTCTTATTTCAGCCTACCTTCATGCAGTGCATCATGTTTTCACATAGCTGACTGTGATAAATGAGTCATACAAGTGTAGTTATTTCATGCAGTATGGAAGAAATCCCACTATAAAATGTTAGGTTAGGTTAGATTAACTTTAGCTCTGGATTATGTGTTGTGTTGAGAGTCAGTGCTCTAGTTATCTCACTTGAGTCTAACAAGCAGTTAATCAGTGAATCATGAAAAATTGGGAACTGGAAACACTGATTTGTTAATCAGGTTGCAGTGAACTGAATTGCAGTGGTTAATCACATCTGCCAACAAGTCTCTGTTACATTAGTAACAGTTCTTTTGCCATAAAATGAGTTTATCTAAACCCTCATTAATGTGGTGAGGATGAAGTGTTACTACCTAGTTCAAGAATAAAGTATTGCATGTCATGCTGATGTACCTCTGAAAACTCTCTTATATATACACACACACATTCTCTCACATGCACTCTCTCCTTCACTTCGTACTAGTTCATAACCTCTTAATTCTATGCAGTCATCATCAGTTGGTAGGATATCACCTGTTCTGGCTTCTCCATCTCTTTCTTGGTCATCCTAGATATCTTATCCCTTCCCACTGATAATTCAGGGCTCTTTGCCAATCTTCTATCATTCATTATTTAAACATGACCACACCATTTTTCTTTGTACTCGTACATTTTTTCGTTCATTACATGTAATGCTATTATGATTTATTAATTGTTTATTTTATCCTTTCCTCTGTGTCCTTCAGGTCTTATTATCTGTGCGCAGTGATTTTGACACCATTTTGCTGGCTGTGCACCATACAACAACTTTATATCCTTTAGTGCCCATCCATGTCTCTACTCCTTCTTGAGAGTAAAATAATACTCTATGTTGAAGATGTCTGTCTTCTGGGTTGTTGCGCTGTGTAGTCTGGTAAACATCTATCAGACTACACAGCACAACAACCCAGAAGACATAAATCTTCATACTCACCTCTGTGAAAACTTCAAATCTTAATATTCTATGTTGTTTTCCATTTTCCCTGCTTGTTTTAGTAGTGACTTGTTGTAGTAGGGTATTTGAAGTTTACTATTAAGGTGTTCTGTAGGATATCGTACAAGTTTTATTTGAAACTTTCTTCTTTTGACCAGAAATATTATCAAAATTTTGTCTGTTGTAACATACTTAATTTAATATTATTCAATTAGATTTTCAACACATACATTTCCACACACATCATGGACAATTTCTATAGTGTTGACTGTTGTGGGAAGTGTGAAATTTTCTTCAATCCCCAACCCATTTCAAAATGATTCAATGTAAAAAGGATGTCATGCTGTATAGCCATTCCATTGTGTTTTTTATTGATTTCTGTATTTATTTATATGGTGTATTTAATTATGCTATCAGTAACTATGTGTTACTCTTTGTGCCTGCTTTATTCATGACCCTTTTGTAAATACAACAATTTTTTTGTCTGTAATATGTGCTTATTATATACTGAAGAATGTTTAAAATCTGTTATTGACTGTCTTGGCCTAGAGGTCAGGTTGTGGAGAATTTTTCACATTCTGTTATAAAGTCATAACCTTCACAAATGGTAGCTGTGATTTCTGTTAGCAAAGTATCAAAGCTTTGGATTGGATAACTGAAATTTGATTTTAAGCAAAAGGTTTGAGGCTTTCTCTTTGTACCACAGTTGAAATTCATGTGGAATCTACTCAGACTTATATCAAATGAATACCAGTGGGTTCATAGTGCATGTGTGATAACAACATAAAACTCTTTACCAATTTCCATCTCTTGCTGAAGTTAAGAATGTCGTGACCTCTATTTCCATACTCCCAGTACAGCACGCTGAGATTGTGCTTAGTCATACAATTCAAATGTCTTAATTAACACATAAATTGTTCTTCTGTCATATGTGGTTTTATGCCAGTTTTACCTGATTGGCTGTGTTGTATGCAGGGAATGAGTAGTGAAGAGCAGACCATCAAAGGAAAATATAAAATGTTGCCTGCAGACTGGCCTACAGATGGAAGCATTACATTTCAAGATGTGAAGACAGTGAGTTCTACAAATTCCTCACAAGTTCTTGATGGAATGTCTTTCGAAATTATGGCTGGGCAGAAAATTGGTGAGTTGTGACTTCACTAGATGCAAGAGTAGGCTCCTCAAAATCAAAGCTTTTCCTTCTTTTCCCTTCTTTTCTCTTCTTCCTCTATGTTGTCAGTTTATCAACTTGCTCCTTAGTACAATTTGAGGTTTTCAAGGCAGTGAGTCTGAAGATGGCCATCTTTCAGAGGATACTTTGAAATGAAATCTGTATAGAGAAAACAAATATACAAAATTATATTATTAGTTACTTTGTAACAGTTGAATTACTCTGTTCTCAGCTGTGAGCAGTTTTTCTGATAAATAAGAGGTTGTATGTTTGCTATAACTAGCATTTCTGTCTGCTTTTAGGTGTGCTGGGGCTTCCAGGTTCTGGAAAAAAGCTCCTGGTAGACACTTTGTTCCGCTTGGTAGATGTAACACATGGTAAGATACTGATTGGTGGTACAAATATAACCTGTGTGCCATTGGACAAACTGCGGTCTAGTATAACTATTGTGCCCCAGGACCCTGTGCTGTTTGCTGGCACTATCAGGTAAACTGGAACTTTAAAATTTTAGCTTAAATAGATAAATAATAGTTATAAAAACTTTCTTCCATAAAAATAAGACTGATGTAGAAAGATTGGCAATGATGAGCAACATGATCAAAGTATGTTGACATGTTACATGTTACTTTATCTAACTAACTCTGTGGAGCAGAATCCCAAATTTTCAACTTCCTACATTCAGTAATAACAACATGGTGGATATACAAACTCATGAATTGGAAGAGAAAACTATTGCTAGCCAATATAAGGGTCCTTTTTATTGTGTGTGTTAATAGATTTTCAAAGAATGTGCAACGTTTATGACACAACACATCAGACATGCCAATATTTTAATTTGTCTTTCAGTTTGACAGTGATAACTAATTAAATACTGGAGCTAGGAGTAACATATGCTATGAAGATGGATTATAAATATTAGCATTGATTGTGGAGGTAGCTTATATATATAGACACATACTGTTTACAAAATATTGTTTATAACTCAACAGTTACAAATATGGTGAAGCTGCTGAAATTCTTGCGGATAAGATGACTGCCTTATGGGTTATAGTGGTGTAGTCTGGTAGAAGCTCACCAACATTTCAGAGATCCTTGCTGCCTCCATCATTGCCCTGATGATGGTGGCAGCAGCGACATCATTCTATTTTATCACTGGATTATAAACTTACATCATCTGCATATAACCTTTATAATATAGAAGGAGAATATACCAATAGGATTTGTTTGCTGGTAGTCTGGCAGGGAAGTATGCCTTATGAGTTCTGCATGGAACCCCTCTTATATTCTTGTGGTGACTTGATGTGGGTAAATATGCAAATAAATTTGATTTTGAAGTCTCTTATATTATTATTCCATGCTAATTTGTTATAGATTTATGATATTTTACATAAAATTATTATATCACACTATTAGGGCATGTCAGGAGTACTTGTATGGATGGTAAACTTGTTTATGGGCATACACACACAAAAGAAACTAAGTAATATGAAGCTTGGAATCAGGCTTAAGATGTAGGTTTAAATGGGAGGCAGCCAAATCTCATGAATTAAGATGTGTCTTGCAAACATCATGGAGTTACAACTTAAAAGTGCAAAAGTTAATTGTTATGTTGTAAACAAATAACATTGTCTTATGTTTTACCATTTTAATATTGTATAAATAAAGTATATTTTTTTAATACAGCCAAGAATGTATGTCATGCTTTCTGAAGTGTTAAAATGTGGGTGGTTTGTGATAATTCGTGTAAAATGTTTGTAACTTGTTTTGACAGACTGAACATAGATCCACACATGATGTACCATGACTCTGAACTGTGGGAGAGCTTGCAGAAAGTGAATTTGCAGGAGTGCATTGAAAGACTACCTCAACAGCTTAACACTCTTGTAGATCGAAATGGTGACAAGTTGTCGGTCAGAGAGCGACAGATGCTGTACCTTGCCAGGGCCTGCCTCAGGGACACGAAGGTGACAGTAGAGCATATTTAACATGTTCGTTATGTGCTCACTCTCTGAACCTGAACTGTGATACTTGATGGGGGGAAAATAAATGATTCTAAGTTCCTTTCTTCGTTGTCAGTGTCTGACTACTCAACATGCTTAGTCAAAGAATGAGATTGTAGAAAACCGGGAACATAAAATTAGCAGTTTTTATGATGAGCCAGCATGTCCAAAGTTTTGGGATTAGAGTCTATGAATTATGTTAAACAATTTCTGTGCTTTCTAACCATTCAGGATGAAAAGTTACTTCCTTTCAGGGTAGCCAGGCACATGTATTGATGTATATAGTTTTCTGTTCTTATAAATAGGTGCTTGTACATGATGTCCATCAAACCAAGGGCAATTGAGTATCATTAGAACATAATCCATTCAACAGACCTTGAAAATATATTAGTTAACTTAAGTAGCATAATAATTAGAGAAAAACAGACTTTTAATTGGTTTTTTATTTTATTGCTAGAGAAATTTTTTAATGAAAGAAATTAGTGTATCAAAAAGTTCTCAAGTGTATTGAAAGGAAGAGACAAATGTGATTTAATTCACATATCCTCTCTTAACTTAGTATGGAATGCAATTCAAAAGTACCAAGAATAAATTCATATCAGAAAAATTGTCGGGATGTGGTTGTGATGAACATGTCCTGGCATTTTGCTACATACTCAGGTATGTTTATTACTCATATCATTGCTTTGGTCATTCATAATCACCATTTAAATCTAGAGTGTTTCTGTCAAATTCAAACTTAAAAGTGTTCTCCAAGAGCAAAGGTATTTAACATTGTGCACATATTACGAAGGTAAGTAAGGTAAAGCGTCCCGCCATATGCCTATGCAGGTATTTGGGGGGAGTGGAGTTATAGCTCCTACTCTTTCTTGACCTCGGCAACAGATAGGGGTGAGTGGTCAGCATCACACCCCGTGATTATTATGTTATTTGCATCAACTAAAATATATCAGTTGATGCAAATAACATTTGAAGATGCAACAGTGAGCCAAGCATGAGATTTTGGCATTTTCGTCATTTTAAGAGGATCAGTGCTATTTTAATTGAAGGTCTGAAAATGAGGCATCTTCTCTTCATTCCAGAACTGATGACACAACATCAGGAAGAAGACTGGTTGCCTGTGGCCTCTGACTTGCTTGAATGTGCACTTACTGATAAAATTCCTAAATAAGTTACAAAATGTACACAAAGCATAATAATTCAGACTTGAGCCATTATTTTGTCTGTTTCCATCATTAATTTTGCTTACACCCCCGTGTCTCTTTGACCCTGGAATATGCTACCTGTGTTTGACATCACTGTATTTGAAAGAAATGCTAGGGCATCACCCTGGCTCTAATTAGCATGGCTCAGCCACTTTGACTGCCCCACCTCAACTATAGAAATGTGTGGTGTCACTCGCCATTTGTGAGATGTACTGGCTAGAGGAAGCCAGAACACACGACACATTACAGTGGTCTTGTCACAAGTTTTTAAAGAAATAAGACAGCCTTGCCAGCATAAGGTGGCTAATGCTGTGACATTTTCTTGTGTAAAGCACATTTATATTTAGCATTTGCATTTACATTTTAAAAATGCAAAATATCTGTACCTAATAATCACTTATACAAATAACTGCAGTGTTCATATATCTTGAAAACTTTTTTTTTGTTGCAACATGATATCTGAATAGATTATAAAAAATATGGACAATTTAACAAAAAGAGGCACATAAAGCAAAAACTAGAATAATTAAATCCATCCATTTAGGAGTAATGCTGTCCATTTAAATGTGCCACAAAGGTAATGTAAATTCAATTGAAACCAGTCTGTTTCAAGGGTTAAGCCATTCACTTAGTTCTGCATAGATCATAATGTGCATCTAATCCCTCATTCCAGGAACTTGCAGTTGAATAAGACAGCATACAGTACGATCAGTACCAACATTTCAGAGGTGCTTTCCTCTGAAACATTGGTATCCTTGTACTAGTCCACATTGCATCACAGCCCAGAAGACCATCATTGACAGAACTGCACCATTAAGCATCACATTCCATCCATTTTCAGGCCATATATTGAGTTGATTTGTGTTGACAGGTGCTTGTACTGGAGGAGCCACTGGCCACGGC